CTTATATGTTAGTTATATTATGGTTTGCAATTACATAAATATTTTAAATGTTCCATGCAATTAAATAAGTAATTGCATAAATTGCTTAAATCAAATTTTAAGTTTGCTCTTTTCGCTCTATGGCACTAAAGGTTAGTTCACACATTCGCGAAATTGCAAAATTTGCCGGAAACCACGTCGTATCTGACGTGTCGATCATTCCCTCCGTTTTTCGCTTTCGCCAGCGAATTGCGCTCAGTGTGAACTAAGCTTAAGAGGATCTTTACGAAGCCCGTTACGAATTCGGCAAGGTCTTTAACGAGGCAGGAAGGTTTGCTTTACGGGAATAGCTTATAATTAGATGACGAGAAAAAGAGGAGAGATATAAAAAAAATATTGGTGTTTTAATTTCCTATTCTGTCTTTCACTACAATATTATAATAATGAAATTTTTGCCTATTATTACTGTTTTCGTATCGCAAGTTTCCTTTATTCTATTACTAAAGAACAAAATAATGAATCGTAAAAGAAATGCGTCGTAGCCACTTAATTCGAATGACGATACAATAATTTAAAAATGAAAACTATCGACACGAAAAAAATATATATTTATTTTCTCTTTTTATTACGTAAATAAAGATAGCGTTTACCTCAGATGTTAAACGGGATAAAGCAAAGGAAAGTAGAAAAGTCACTAAAAATAAGACTAAACGTAAAGCCGAAATGATGATTCTCAGAGACAAGTTTATGTCGATGAATGCCACCACGTAAATGAAAAAGCAATTGACATACAGAGCCACGGCGTAGAACAGAGGAAGGACGTATTGGCACACCTCGTCCACCTGTACCAAACCGTCCAAAATTTCCGTGTGCTTTTCTACGCAACTGTTTAAGAAGATCTCCACACGACTGTGTTCGGCGTGGAAACTCTTCATCGCGGTTGACAGAGTTTTTAATCTTTCGAACATTATAAATCCAACGGCGATACCTTGCAAGACGGAAAGGAAAATAACAGCGTAGAAGTATATGAAGGTAACATTCATTAAAATGACGCAAAATGCCGCTTCCTCGGGAGATTTCTTTTCTCTCGTGATTGGAAAACCGAATATATCAAGTATTACAGATACAAAAATCATGAGAATAAAGTAGAGAATAAGTGAAATTAATAAAAATTCTTCGAAGTATTTGTTTAAGGAGATTTCTTCTTCGTACGCGCTTTTCTTGTATTCGAAGTACAGTTTTCTTTTTTTAAATATGCCGAAAAGAACAGCGCTAAACAGATAAAAAATAAAATATATCAATCTGATGAAACAATTGTCGGACTTGTAAACGTATACCCACTCACTGCAGGTTACGCCTTCGAAAAAGGTTTCCAGAAACTGTCGAATTGTTATAGTCCACAAGANGAGATTTCTTATCTCTCGTGATTGGAAAACCGAATATATCAACTACTAGACATTCAATAAGTAACATGATAAAGTAGAGAATAAGTGAAATTAATGAAAGTGCTTCGAAGTATTTGTATAAGGAAATTTCTTCTTCGTAAGAGCTTTTCTTGTATTCGAAGTACAGTTTTCTTCTTTTAAATATGCCGAAAAGAACAACACAAAACAGATAAATAATAGAATATATCAATCTGATAAAACTATTGCCGGTTCCGTAAACGTACACCCACTCGCTGCACGTAACGCCTTCGAAAAAGGTTTCCAGAAACTGTCGTATTGTTATAGTCAAGAAGAAAAGTTTTACCGTATTTTCGTAACACCCGTAAGCTTTATCCGGGAAGAAACTAAATTTCTGTTTTCTTTCGTTCCTCCGGCAGTTGCAGTCCATAATTATATTCGTGGCGAAGACTTTGGCCGCTCGAAGAACAAAGTCGATCTGACAAACCGGACACCCGGCAGTTACATACGAATCCATTATCAACTGTAATGGAAGTAAAGAATGTTTAGGAACTAATACTGATGTTTAAACACCGACATACATTTGTTCGGATGGCAGACGTACACGAATGACGATTATTTTATAAGACTGAACAGTAGAGAATTTTATCCGAGCGCAGCGCTTAGAAAACTAATTACGTATTGATTCGGTTCGATCTGAAACAAGCGTTTCCATCGATATTAGTACAAACATTGCGTGCTAATAACTCGGGAATTTAATGAAGTATAAAATTTGCATCGTATATTAAAAACTATCCGACTCATATTCAAAATATTTTAAGCGGCGGAGGATTACCGGACGTAATTAGAATTTATATCGATTCGTCCATCTTACGATAATTATGTGTACTTAGTGGAAAGCTAATGCGAAAATATTTTAGTGAATTAAAAGCTTTCCTTAGTATTAAAGAATGTCGAAGATTTGAATATTTCTTCTGTTACTAAGATATGACCGAACTAATTTTAGAATGAAAATGCATCCACCGCATTGGCTATAAAAGAGAGAAGCTCTTCCTTTTAAGGAATAAAATGGCAGACGTTCGGTATTAAATAATTTTATTACACAAACGATTGGGCTTCGGACAATAACAAAAGCGGAAGACAATTTCCGGTTCTACAAAAATCGGTCCTTGCGACCGCCGTTCTTCCTGTACAAAAGGCGACGCGTCGCTCCAGAGGCGGCGGCGGGGAATTTCTCCCGCCCGCTGCCTTGCGCAGAGGCCGTCGGGGAGCCGTCGCCCCACTCGACGACCGAGGAAGACGGAGGAGTCCGCGGCGGACGGAAGCGGCCCGCTCTCGGAGCCGGAATCGGAAGCCGAACCGCGATTAAAAAGTAGGAAAAGGAGCCCGACCGGGCAATCCGGTCGACCCGTCGACCCACGCGTGACATAAATTAAAATGAAAAAATTAAAAACGAGGACTATCAGATCTTTCGACGGGGACCGACCGAAACCCGGTTAGAATAGACGCAAATTATCCAAAAGAAAAGGTTTAGAGTGGTTTTAAACTAGACGCCTGACGGTTGGAGTCACTGCTTGCCCCGTAAGTGAGATTCTTGAAGGTAGAGGTGACCTGTTTGTAGATCGGATTCTCTCCCTGAAAAAGAAAGAGCGGACTCGTCATTGGGGAACTGGATCGTCCCGACCCAAAGATGAAACGAACTCTTCGTGTCCCACTTGGCCATTTGCTCTCCTTCTCGAACTTGGCAAACTTCCTCCTGTCGTGGATGGTTGTCAGCAACTTCCAGATCAGCAGCAGGGCCAGATCCATGGTCACCATGCCACCGATTACTCCTAGAACGATGGTCAGGATGTTGATTGGCTCCGGACAAGCTGAAAGGAGTTCCTCTTCGTTTAATAGACAGGCGACGGCCGTTCCCGTCCGGGGAAAGCGAAATCCTCACTTTTATTTCTCTGCAAGTGGATTTTGACGTAACCATCCGAATCGATCTTGTAGGTCAGTGTTCCGCAACCTATTTCTACTCGCGGCACATCTATGACTCGATATGACTCAGTGGCGTACCGTAGTGAAGCGGCAAAATTTCACAATAAATAATAATAATATCTAGTAAAAATTGGAACATTCTAATTTATACGAGCATCGCGCCTACGATAGTGCTATCGTCCGGTCAGTCCGGGAATCGGCTCGCCATACGGGTGAACTAGTAATTTTCTCATCCGAGGAAATCCTCCGAAACCTATTGACTTTTCTTTTTGCTTATACGATTCATCCGCGTTCATATACACCACTAATATCCAATAGAACTATTTTAAATAGGTCGCTGCACTACCACCGAATTTTTCATTGCTTGTTCTGTGACAAAACTGAATTTTGGTCTTTTAAATTAAAATACCTAAATAAGGTGGTCCGAAATTTTTCTCAGCCTCGGGCAGTTGACACCCACGGTACGCTACTGACATGACTCAATACGGCACACCAAAATGTTATTTCCCTCAAAAACGTATGATTTGATGATATTAATAGAATTTCATAATGCCATAAATCTATTACGGTAGAACCTCGATTATCCGAATTGTTCAAAATGAAGAAAAATTTTACAAATTTTCTGATTTGCACTTGGCAAATTGCGATACTTTTTATGTACGTGATGAAACGCATAACTTTTTTCGTTCCAACAACATCTCACCCAACACAATGGTCGTAAACTTTTTAATACATTTTGCGTCGTAATAAAAATATAACTTGACATACATATTTATAAATAATTTATATTGAAATTACATCATTTCTATGGCCAAGGGCGGAGTAAGGCATGGAAGACGTGGGCTGTCGCTACGGTCTTGCGGTTCCGAGGAGCCTCGCGCCTCGAAGGTTTAAGCATTATTTAAAAGTCGTGAACACAATGAATAAATTTTACTCGTCATAAAACAATAAATAGTTTGCATTTTTATGAATAAAAATTTGACAATTTCAACTTCTTTTTACTGTATTTTATAAAATCTGTCTTCTTGCGCCACCAGAGGACCTTTAAACAATAGGCAAGCTGTTAGTACCAGGGTTGCCAGATTGGGCTACAAGTAGCGGATTGGGCTACTTTTTAAGTGCCCTCGCCACAAGAATTTCAAATTGGGCGACACGCTACTTTTTGAGTTAGTGATAATTATCTTCAAGCTACAAATCTTAATTAGAAATACGCTACTTTTTTATTTTCATATATAAAATCGCAAAACGTTTATTGTATTATACAAAAATAATAAAGTTTTATTTAAAAAGGATAGGCAGGGTCAGACCCTCGGATGTGCGACGATTCTCGAACGAATAAGGTGTGTATGTGTGCTGATATTTGTAATTATAAATTGTGAATACAAGTGACTAATATTATGTTCTTTTTTTATTTTGTGCATGTTACAAGTTATAAATAAATATAAACAAACAACACTAACCCGGTAACATTAAATCTAAATACCAAATTGATTAATTTACTGTGTTTTTGTTATTTCTTACTCCTGTTGTTAGGTACTCGGTATTCGGCCGAATACGGAATAGTAACCGAATATTACCGTTAACATTTATTGTCAAACGATAAATTATATTTGTATTTATTTATTTATTAACACGATATCACAACGATACACCAGGTAAAATCATTTCTATTCGCGGTAAAGATGGGATTTTATTATTTATTATTAAATAAATAAATAGAATTTTTCGTTATTTTCTAAAATTCATACGCATCGTTCGAATTAAAACTTCTACAAACGAAGGATTCTTCTGTTAAAAACACCGACTCGTCCTACGATAAAGCCTTTATTAAATTTTAAATAACGTTAATATCACAGATAAATTTCGTCTTTTCGTATTCACCTCTCGTACTTTCCTCTCGGAAATCGTATATTGGAACGTAATTCCTTTTGTTTAGAACCTTAATTTTAATCGAATCGATTTCCTCTTTCGGAACTTTAACCGAAATTATATGAAAGCTTCGCTTTGGCAACAATTTCAGTTTTTCTAACGGTACGACTCCGTTTGGGTCGCAGATGCCTCTTTCGTACACGAAACACCGCGAATAACTACGCTTAACACCGACCAAAACCTTAATTCCTCCGGATCTACGATGGATGATTGGCAATTTAATTGAGTCTACAATGTAGTTTTCCGGTACCCAGATATCGGCCATAAACAGCAAGTTGTCTTCCGTCTTTTTATTTTTTCTGACAATATTCCTTTTCTCGCCAGAGTTAAGGCGAGTAACAGAAAATAATTGGAATGTTTTCGCTGTTTAACGTTAGCAGAAATTGCTGCCAGTAGTTGGGTCACATTTTTCCCAGCGGGAAATTGTCTTGCCGATCGAAAATCATTATTGAAGTTTTTCGCGATGTCTTTTAGATGTTCCGGTTCTTTCACCCGGGTGCGAAGTCCGAGCAACGGATGATGTTCCTCCACCTTGACGTAGGCAGGACACGTCAATAACTCGTAAATATTAGTTTCTTCGCACGATTTGAAATCGTCAGAACGTGATATGCTTTCGTCAGTGCTATTCAATCGTTAGAAACTATAATATTGCAACTGTTTTTCGTGGTGTCTGACGGCCAAACAATGAATACAATAAACGTGGTGAGAGTGAGAATAAATCATTCCGACGAGATAATAAAACCATATTTTTACTAATGGGCTAATGTGGTAACGTTTTCCCAATAAGGACATTCGGAATGCATCGTCTGCAGAAGTAAAAGTAACACTTTTGTCTGTCAAAAATCTGAAAGGAGAAAACAGATTAATAAAACAAATACTAATAATATTTATTGAAACGATTACAAAAATACATTTCTGTGTAAAAAGTTTCCAAGAACACTACTTACATCCTCGAGTCAAACAGATAAACGAATAATTGGATTTCGCCAATGTTTTTTTTCGTTCCGGTTGTTAACGTATGCAAATTATTTTAGATACTCGTACCAATGTTTTTAAACAGACGGGGGATTTTTCATTCAGTACGATTACTCGTATTGTTACGTAATATACTTGTATATCGAGCGGAAAATTAACTTTTAAAGACTAGATTTATAAAAACCTGACGAGTTGATTCAGTGTTCCTGGTGTTAGAGATAGTTTGAGGATAAACTTGCTTTCGTTCGGACACAACGTTACGGAGTTTTTCAGTAATCCTCTCTTTTCTATCAAGGATTTTCTCCACAGGACGAAAGATTGGCCATTACGTCCTACTACACTCACTCGATTCTCATCGAATCTTCCTTTTTCTACTACGTTTAGCATTTTGTTTGAGGCAAACTCGGAAGGGTGAATTCGAAGATTCTTCTCTAAGAGCATCTCACTACTTCCTCCCGGACTGCCGCACTGAAAGCTTTCTAGCGACTTTCCGGGTGGCGTTAATATGCAAATGAGGCGATTTACCGACGGGCGAGTAGTCGAAAATAGCACGGTTATAAAGGAAATATTTTTCTCTTTTATAAGACTATTTTTAAAAATTTACAATAACGTTTTCGAAACGAAGAAATATTGAGGATTTTTTCTATAGGTATAAATGTTAGTGTGTGGGGGGGGCAGGATTTTGTTCACCCTGTTTGAAGCTTAATAACTTCTAAGCATTTTGTCGAAAATTTCTAAAATTGTGCCGGAAAGTTTGTGTGTTTGGGGGGGATCGATGCTATTAAGTTTTGGTGATAATTAACATCGTCACAATGCCGGACTGCAATTTTTATTCACATTTTAACTGTCAATCTCTTTCGGATTGAATCAAAATATTAATTATTTAAATTTTTAAAACGTGAGAACACGCCAATATAATCAGATCACGGCCTCTTCTAATGCCGTAATATTCCGATTATTACTGGTTTATTGCAGAGATCTTTGCCACCGAGCAAAGATTAAAACAAATTATAATGATGAAACCAAATTTTTGCTTTACCGCCGATATTTGGGTACCCGAAAATTGTATGGCCAATGCCGTTACACTGCCGATAATCTATCGTTAGAATCCATGCCGTAGGAATAGAAGTTTTTGTTGGTATGAAGTCCATGTTTTCGCAAAATTTTCTGTACGAAGGACACTTTTGCCTTATGAACGGACTTATTTATTTAAAAATTCAAAGAATATTTGCAAATATTTAGTATATTTTATATTAAAGTATATTTTTCTATTATTTTTTGTCTATAGCCGTAAATACTTCGAAAGAAACGTTACAAAGGAACGTGAGGATGGAAGAAAAATTTCGATTAATGGCCGACGTTTGGGTACCCGAAAATTGTATTGTCAACGCTATTAGTCTTCCGATATCCCACCATAATCCGGAGGGAATTGAGATTTTGGTGGGCACGAAGATGAAATATTCCCACGATTTTCTATACGAAAGAAATATCTGCGGTAGAGAAATAATTATATATTTTAAAGAAGCCAAATATTTGCAGAAGCGCAGTCTACTTATATTTTCCGTTAAAATTCCCAGAGAAGAAATAGATTTGAATTTTATACGGTTCTTAGGACACGCGGAAGGTTATATTCCACTACACTATTTCGGAGATAAAAGTACAAGCGACGAAGAGAAAAGAAACACTTTTAATTGTCGCATTTGCCTCTTTTAAATTATAAAACCGTGTTTTTTAACAGAGTTACGTTAGAAACTTTTAATTAGAACAATGGCCGTTAATTTTGCAGGATAGCCACAATTAATTTTATTCTTGTGTTAATAATTACATCGAAATTGCAGAAAATTGAAAGAAATGAATGTCAACCGCCAGACGAAGGACGATTGATTTTCTCATTGCGATTGCACCTTAGAAAATAAAATTGTGATTCGTACTTTGACATTAAGCGTTAACCGTCAAAAACATCGGCGGTGTTTCTTATTTGGCTTTTTTTCTTTTACAAATTAAGTGCGCGACGTGGCATAAATTTAGAATTTTCACTTTTCCGGCTCTGTTATAAATAACAGAGAAAACATAGTGTAAAAATTACCTCCCAGAGCCTTCTCCATTCTTGAATTTCTTGAACCAGTTTGTAGCGAATCTGTTGAATACATCCCCGCCAAATGCCTCGGTTACATTATGGCCACCTTTGACGTGACAAGAGCAACAGCACACAACTATATTCTTTCATATGTTTCATATTGTCAGACATTACTGATGTGTCTATTTCCAATGAAATGTGTAATGAAACTTCCTTTAGCCACTCTACTTATACAGTAGTGCCTCGTATAACGTACTTAATCCGTTCCAGGTGCACATCCGTTAAGTGAAAAGTCTGTTATACGAAACGCATTTTCCTATAGAAATACATGTTAATACATATAATTCGTTCCGCAGCATAAAATAACCATACTGTACCATTAAAAGAATGAAAATGGAGCAGTCACCAATTATGCCGGGTACTCAGATGTTGTGAGGAGGAGATGGAGGAATTTTCTTCACACATTTATACAGATACAGACTTTATACACATTGCAGCAGGTCTCTTTTTATTGTTTTTTAATCGGAGTCAGATTCAGGAGAGGCTATCGGAGCTTGCAGGGTCAACTCCTCTCGTTCCATCCTTTGTTTTTTGCCTGCTGGCTTCTTGAAAAAACGTGTCCAAGGTGGTCTGTTTCTCTCTCTTCTTCAACACCTGTCGGAAATGACGGGCAAGGGTGTCATTGTAGAGATCATTTATCTTGGTGGCCTTAGCTCTGTTTGGATAATGAGTGTTGGTAAACTCCTGAACCTCCCTATTCGACAAGGAAGTTGTTGTCAACTTTCACTCCTTCTGATGATTTCTTGCATTGTTTCAATTGATATCACTTTTCTGTTTTTTTAGAAGCCATGATTTGCACAACACTTGAATAAATGTAAATACCCTGCACTGAGGTGATGTACCTAATAAACAAGACAGCAAGCCGAATCCCAACGGGAGGTCTGTACTTCAGATATACTAATAATATATTCTAATAACACTAATATATTATAAAAATAGCAGATTGCCATTGGCAACGGCAAAAGTGTGGAAACATCATTTGCACTTGTTTGCAGAAAGTCCGTTGTTCGCAGCGTCCGTTATTCAAGGCGTACGTTATACGAGGCTTACGTTATACGAGGCACCACTGTATATATATATACCACATCAAACGTACGCACACGAATAATTCAAATTGAAGAAGTAGATGATCAACAGCACAACAATTGATCAATTGTTATCGAAATATTCGTTTCAGAAAATTATCGTTGCTAATTGTGATTTACTGCTTAACAATGTTTAAAAAGGCCTAAATCTAGAGTCATCCGGGACTAAACTTACCCAAATAATCGGTGCAACTAGAGCAAAACTCAGAAAATACTCGAAACAATTAAATGAGTCGCATTCGAACAAAACAAGACAATCGTCGAAATCTTATTGTCGCGTCGCGACTCGGTTTAATATTAAAAATTTAGATTTTTTGACAGAATTTCGAAGTTTCCGCGTCGGTCTTTCTATAGACAGATCTGGACAGACCATTCTGCATTTTGTCTGTAGCTTTTTATTCATCCCCACAGAGACGAGGTAGAATCAATTTTGTTAGCGTTAAGATTCTGGTAAATTAAGTAGATTCGAGTAGGATTCGACTTAAATGGAGCAATGGTAGAATCTGGAACTAATTGAAAAAATTGCAGCCCGACAACAATATAGAAACGTCGATTTGTCGATAAAGATAAAGACAACATGCTGCCAGTTCGTACAGTCAACGTCTCTTTGTCATAGCACTACGTTTTTAAGATGCTGAAGGTACGACAAAACAACTTCTGTAGCCAGGCTTCCATCTGTCTGGATAGTGGCCAAAGACGCCGCCACAGCTGTTCCTGATTGTGTCATTATCTCTCCTCGTCCGTTTTATGTCTGGAGTGTTCAGAACTTGCCCGCATATATGTGGCCCTTCACCTATTCACTCTCCCAACATATCTTCACAACCAGATGGAAAACAATTCGGCGAAAATGCCAGCTCACTTCCTTCGGCCAAACGATGCGGCCTTTCTCAACTTTCGTCAGTCGAACACGAAGACTTTGTATCGTACTGGCATGACGCATTAGAAAGCTTCAAAACAACGCAGACAAAAAATCCAGCAACGAGTTGCTTAACTTACCCGGCAACATTTAGTGGCACCATCTCTTATCATATTTTATTAAAAATCTTTCTATATTTTTAATTATTATAAAATGGCAGAAAGCTTAATTGAAAGCTAACCTGGATAGAAACCTTCCGATTTAACTTTCTTAACTCTTTTTCGGCCGGGAAAAATAGGTGTAGTGGCGGACATCGGTGCTGTTTCTCTACGAAATCGGTTCGTTTCTAACAATGAGAACTTTATAGAAGAGGAAATTAAAAATTATCCAAAACTGACAATATGCCGAAAGAATCGGTTTTGTTGCTTTCTGTCGAGATGCATCCACTTTTCTTCTCGTTGCCGAGCTTCAGTAACGTTGACAAAATAGAATAAAATCCACTTAACATCTGTAAAATAAGAAAGTCTTTTATTCCAGCCAGTGTTTATAATTACAAGAACACAGAATGTAAAGCTCACATGCTAGAACTGAGATTTAAAATTTAAATGTGTTTAAATAAATTTTTGTGCTTGAAAAAAAATCTTAATGGGTATCTAACGCATGGCACACATGGTCAGTGAGAAACTAAACTCGGGTCTAACGAAATACACCAGAAAGAGGTACTCACTCTCGTGACAAAGTTTTTCTTGATGAAGAAGAATCCTCCGACAGAAAGGCCGATCGGGGTCTTTCCGAATCTCTTCATGAAATCTAGAAACTAATCAGATAAGTTTATTAATCAAATTGTTTACGGTTAAAAGGCGAATTTAATAATTAATCGAGTATTTCGAGCGATGTCAACCTTGAGTTTGCTTTCAATTTTCATGTGGACAAAAGAAAATCTTCTGATTTCTATGAAGTTATTGTACAACTGAAAAATAAAACAATGAAAATTATTTTGATTAATATGCTATTATTTCTTTAATTATTTTTAAACTCTGCGATGTAAAGTATATCATAGGAGCGATTGAAAACGGTGTTCATTGAAATACAACACGAAAATAAAAAACTCCAGCAACGAGTTCTTTAACTTTCCCGGCAAAATTTAAAACTGTCTGTGTAATGCCATCCGTTAAATAATATATCCTAACAGATGACTCTATAAATGCTGTTTTAATAGAGAAAGTAGCCATAAAAGGTACGATTTTTAATTTCTATTGCATTAAGATTTTATACGTTCCATGCAATTAAATAAGTAATAGCATAATTTTTTAAACTAAATTTTAAGTTAGCTCTTTTCGTTCTATGGCACCTATAGTGTAATAGAACGAAAAGACATTAGGTTCACACATTCGCGAAATGGCAAAATTCGCCGAAAACCACATCGTGTCGGACGTTTCATATAGTTGTCTCTCTTATCTTTTGTTATAATAATCTATTGAAAATAAACTCCAACATCCACAATTCCATTAAGTTTCAAAATACTTTTTGAAACTTTGTGGAATTGTACAAACATCTTTCAGGATTGGACTTGAAAGCATTATCTGGTGTTTGCAAGTTTTGGCAAGAATGTTATTCTCACTTCTAATACAGTTGGTTGGGGACTAGACCACTACTATAAAGCAAAAACAGCAAAAACATTATTTTGTCTTTCACTATAAAATATTATAATAATGAAATTTTTGCTCCTTATTAGCCTACTGTTTTCATATTGCAAGTTTCCCTCATTCTATTACTTGGGATGCGAGTACTAAAGAACAAAAAAATAAATCGTAAAAAAATGCGTCATCGCCATTTAATTCGAATGACGATACAGTAATTTGAAAATGAAAACTATCGACACGAGAAACGTATTTATTTATTTTCTATTTTTATTACGTAAACTAGCTGCAAGGACCCGCTTCGCTGGGAAAAAAGTAACGATAGTGAAGATTAAGATAATTACATTATAGCCGATCTTACCCGTTTTCGCAGAATGCAAGAATTAGGTCCCCCGTTTCCAGACTAATAAGAAAATTTTTACGAATCTAAAAATATGTTCAATTTCCCGCAAAAACGCAAAAAACCGCCTGTAAATTTTGCATGCCGCTTTATATTAACACTTCCTTTGTTACTCAATACTTCCATTGTTAACACTTCCACTGTTGACACTTCCATTGTTGACACTTCCTTTGTTACACATCTTCGAAGTCAACCACTTTCAACCCCATATCTCCCACACCGTTATAGCACAAAATGCAAGAATTAGGTTCCCCGTTTCCAGACTAATTAGAGAATTTTTACGTCCAGTCTAACTAACTATTTTCAATTTGATTAATTTTCTGGAACGTTTACAATCGTTCTATAATCGAACAAATTCGAATTTAAAACGGTTCGAACATTTTAAAAATCGAAATAGAAAATATTCGAAGTCGACCACTTTCAGACCCCATATCTCCCGCACCCTTATAGCTATCGAGACGCAACCACCATAGTGTACGAATGGAGACTGGGGGCTACCAGTACATACAAACACCATTCATGTGCGATGTGTAGTTTTGGCTGAAAAGTGAAATATAGGGACATACACGTCCATTTATATATATACAGATATAGATATAGATATAGGATGTAGATATAGAATATAGAATATAGATATAGATATATATAGATAAATGAAGATAGCGCTTACCTCAGATGTTAAACGGGACAAAGCAAAGGAAAGTAGAAAAATCACGAAGAACAAGGTTAAACATAAAGCCGAAATGATGATTCTCAGAAGCAAGTTTATGTCGATGAATGCTACCACGTAAATGAAAAAGCAATTGACGTACAGAGCCACGGCGTAGATCAGAGGAAAGACGTATTCGCATACTTCATTCACCTGTACTAAACCGTCCAAAATTTCTGTGTGCTTTTCTACGCAACTGTTTAAGAAGATCTCCAATCGACCGTGTTCTGAGTGGAAACTCTTCATCGCTGTTGACAAAGTTTTTAATCTTTCGAACATTATAAATCCAACGACGATACCTTGCAAGACGGAAAAGAATATAACAGCAAAATAATATATGTGACTGATATTTATAAGAATGCAACAAAATGCCGCTTCCTCGGGAGATTTCTTATCTCTCGTGATTGGAAAACCGAATTAAAATAATAAAGTAGAGAATAAGTGAAATTAACGAAAGTGCTTCGAAGTATTTGTATAAGGAGGTTTCTTCTTCGTAAGCGCTTTTCTTGTATTCGAAGTACAGTTTTCTTCTTTTAAATATACCGAAAAGAACAGCGCAAAACAGATAAACAATTGAATATATCAATCTGATAAAACTATTGTCGGTTCCGTAAACGTATACCCATTCACTGCAGGTTACGCCTTCGAAAAAGGTTTCCAGAAACTGTCGTATTGTTATAGTCAAGAAGAAAAGATGTACCGTATTTTCGTAACACCCGTAAGCTTTATCCGGGAAGAAACGAAATTTCTGTTTTCTTTCGTTTCTCTGGCAGTTGCAGTCCATAATTATATTCGTGGCGAAGACTTTGGCCGCTCGAAGAACAAAGTCGATCTGACAAACCGGACACCCGGCAGTTACATCCGAATCCATTATCAATTGTAATGGAAGTAAAGAATGTTTTGGAGCTAATACTGATGTTTAAACACCGACATACATTTGTTCGGATGGCAGACGTACACGAATGACGATTATTTTATAAGACTGAGTAGTACAGAATTTCATCGAAGCGCAGCACTTAGAAAACTAATTACGTATCGATTCTGTTCGATCTGGAACAAGCGTATCCGTCGATGTTAGTACAAACATTGCGTGCTAATAACTAATTAAGTATGAAATTTGATTGCATCGTATATTAAGAACTATCTGATTTATATTCTCGATATTTTAATCGGCGAAAGATTACCGGACTTAATAAAAATTCATATCGATTCGTCCGTCCTACAATGATTATGTGTACTTACAAGTTAGTGGAATGCAAATGCGAAAATATTTTTGTGAATTAAAAGCTTTCCTTATTATTAAAGAATGTCGAGAATTTGAATATTTCTCCTGTTATTAAGATATGATCGAACTAATCCCAAAAAATAAATAAAATAATTAGGGGTAAACGGGTTCCCATCCACCGCATTGGCTATAAACGACAGAAGCTTTTCCCTTTTCCCCTTTAAGGAATAAAATGGCAGACGTTCGGTATTAAATAATTTTATTAAACAAACGATTTGGCTTCGGACAATAACAAAACCGGAAGACGATTTCCGGTTCTACAAAAGTCGGCCCTTGGGACCGCCGTTCTTCCTGTACAGTAGAAAAGGTGACGCGCCGTCCGCCACGCGTCGCGCAAGAGGCGGCGGCGGGCGGGGAATTTCTCCCGCCCCCCGCTTGCCGGGCGCCGAGGCCGTCGGGAAGCCGCCGCCCCACTCGTCGACCGATGAAGACGGAGGGGGCCGCGGCGGACGGAAACGGCCCGCCGCTGGAGCCGAAAACGGAAGACGAACCGTGATTAAAAAGTAGGAAAAAGAGGCCGACCGAGCCCCCGTCGTCCCGTCGACCCACGCTGGCCATAAATTAAAACGAAAAGGTTAAAACCGAACCTACCGACTGACCGAAACCCGGTTAGAACAAACGCAAATTAGCCAAAAGAAAAGGGTTAGAGTGGTTCTAAACTAGACGTCTAACGGTTGGGGCAAACTGCTTGCCCCGTAAGTGAGATTCTCGAAGGTAGAGGTGACCTGTTTGTAGATCGAATTCTCTCCCTGAAAAAGAAAGAGCGGACTCGTCATTGGTGAACCGGATACGTCCCGAACCAAAGAAGAGAGGAACTCACCGTGTCCCACTTGGCCATTTGCCTTTCCTTCTCGAACTTGGCGAACTCCCTCCTGTCGTGGATGGTGGTCAGCAACTTCCAGATCAGCAGCAGGACCAGACCCACGGCCACGATTCCTCCGATCACTCCCAGAACGATGGCCAGGATGTTGACCGGCTCCGGACAATCTGAAAGAAGTTCCTCTCCGTTTAATAGACCGGCAACGGCCGACCCCGACCGAAGAAAGCGAAATCCTCACCTTTAGTTCTCTGCACGTGGATTTTGACGTAACCGTCCGAATCGATATTGTGGGTGAAGAAGAACTTGCAGTCGTCGTCGTGTCTAGAGGCGCACAACTTGTCCCTTTCTTTCGCTGCAAAGACCAAAGGAGGTGAGCGAGGAGCTGGAGGGAAATCGCGGGCATCCGAACGGCGCTTACCTTCGAGGCACTCTTCTTCGGTCAGAGGTCCCGAATTGAAGAACTTGCACTGGACGCATTCCTTGAAAAGGAATGCGTCCAGTGCAAGTTCCTCGACAGGTCTGAAAATATGCCGCGGGTCAGAAAGAGCGACTTCTTTCCCTCCTCTTTCCTCCGAGTAATACTCACCGGACATTCTTTGCAAAGCTGGCTGCTGTAGTGTCCCTCTTCCTCTTTGAAACTCTTGCAGGCTCCGCACACGCACTCGCCGTTTCCACTACACAATTTCTGCAAGAAGTTCTGTCCGTTAATTTCTCTGTTCGGGCCCGGCGTGTACTTCCCTATTCCTATACCTAATACTGTGTCTTTAGTGTTAAGTGTACTATTTCCGGATCTTCCGTTCCTCCTTTTCAACGGAGGCGTATTGGTACAAAAAGTCGTACATGCACATCCGAAGAACACAATCGTTGGTCTTTCTCAACTCTTTTTCGTCCGACGGTAAATAGCGCATTATTAATTAAAGAACAATATAAATTGGAGGACCAACTGCCTTACTGTCAGGGAAAGCTACGTCGAAATAATGGCGGGTCGCGGGCATATTTCTCGTGGAATGGAAAGGAGAGGCGCGTAGACGTAAGTAGGATACTCACCCCGTTTGCAGCTATACACGTTTCGTTGTCATCCAGACAGTCGCAGGCGTTTCCCGTTCAATTGCCCAGACATTTGCACTTTCCGCATTCGCAGATACCGTGATCGGGACCTGTAAATTAAAATAAATAATAAAATGCCGATTTTTTTGCTCTCTACGTTAACGATGCATTTCATTATTTTTTAATTACTGGTATAACTACGTAACAACAAATCGTCGACGTTACTGGCGAACAGAGTCCGTTATGCCAGTTTGTCGTGGATGATTGGTTGGAAGTTTTGAAATACGGTTGTATACAGAAAGTTACCGTCGCATATTTTTCATGTCATTGAAATTATGAACGTGCAATAACATGAAAAATTTTAAAAACTAACAAGTAGGTTTAAAGTTAATAAATACAAATGTATTCTGGAAGTTTATAAGTTAATTATAATTTTTATTTGCAACATTTTCTCAACCTTAATTAAATGAGTGATAACACTTTCTAAATAACAGGCTGGTTAGATTGTAATTTTCGATTGAATAATAGAACGTCACATGGCCACTATGCAAAGATTTTGTAAAGAAGTGATTCAATGCGACCATCGTTAGTAAAGTTTAAATTACACCATTTACCAAATTATGTAAAAATACAACTGAAGGAAATATCCTTGTGGAGCACGAATGTGGTCACTGACGTTCACGGTCGCAACAATATCGCGATCACCGATCATAAATCGATAAAATGTTTATTTAAAAGCTAATATTTCTATAAAGTAGCCTATACTTTTCTTCCGAACATGAAATGAATATATCCAAAATTTCATTTGGATTGGACAAAAATTTAAGGAGTTATAAGGAATTCACACACAGACGACGGCTTTTATATTAGTATTTATTGTTAGTAATTAAATAGTAATTTAAAGAAATTGAATAAAATTAGTACTGTACTAGTTAAATACAGTAGAGCGTCGATTTTCCGAAAGTCAATCATCCGAAAGAATTCCAGTCGGCAAATTTAAATTTTCGCTAGTGCTGTGGCGCTTCAATTCTTGGCTATGTCTTGGGCTACTCAAATATTTTACGTTTTTGATGCTAAATTAACATCTGAAGTATAATTTTTTATTGTTTTTATATTTTTCAATATATTTATTTTGTTTGTACAAAATAAAAAAATAATTTTTAACGATACAATAGTCTTTGTTAGGCTTAACATCGACGAAAATTCAACGCGAAGCGACATGCAACGGAGAAAAATTTCAACATCGGATACGTTAAATTATTTTTTCGTACATAAACCGGTTATCCGAAATATCAGTTATACGAACAACCCCAGTCCCTAATTGATTCGGAAAATCGACGCTCTACTGTACAAGGAAATTAATATAGTAGAGCGTCGTTTATCCGAAGGTCGGTTATCCCAAAGAATTCCAGTCGGCAAATTTAAATTTTCGCTAGTGTTGTGGCGCTGCAATCTTTGGCTATATCTTGGGCTACTCCAATATTTTTTTTGTTGGTGTGTGTGTTTCAGCTGGCAGCAATGGCACTTTTGTGTGGTGTTTTTCTGAGGACTGTGTGTGGTGCTGAATCGAACGTTTTTGATACTAGATCATCTTTTTTGCTTTTTATAATTTTCAATATATTTATTTTGTTTGTAAGAAATAAAGAAATAATTTTTAACGATACAATAGCCACGATTATTATTTTAAAAAGTATACGTTAGGCTTAACTTTGACGAAAATTGAACGCGAAGCGACACGCAACGGAGAAAAATTTCAACACGGGATAGGTTAATATATTTTTTCGTGCATAATCGGTTATCCGAAAAATAAGTTATCCGAACGACCTCAGTTTTAATTGATTCGGATAAACGACGCTCTACTGTATTACGTTTACAAAAACAAATTTTCGACTCTGGAGAGAACGTTTTTACTGATTGGCGAATTCAAAAACTTCGGCAATACAATCATTAGTCACAATATTACGATATTTAAATATATTCTTTCGGAGGTTTATAAAATATCAATTAAAAATGAGTGTCTTTATATCATAACAGAAATCTAATTTATTTATTTATTTATTATATTTTGAATCTTTAAATAAAGAAATGTAAAATTGTACACGACACTCTTTATTTTCTGATGTATTTGTATAATTTCGTAATCTCTAATCCCAGTTTCGGACTCCACCACTTCACTACTGACTGCTTCCTCTCTCTCTCTCTCTCTCTGAGCGTTTTTTCTCGCTTTTACGCCCTTCCTTTTACGGTCCATTATCTACATTTCTTATTGCCATTTACGACTACATGCAAATGGTTGCACATGGACCGATAAAACCGCAGTTGAGGGAGACAATATCGCTACACCCCCGACGCAAGATAATTGTTAGGGTGGTAACCCGAATACGGATCTGGACTAAACTTCCAAAGAACAAGAGTACAATAGGGTGGAGTTTCTCGACAATACATAATGGCGACACACAACTCATCACAATTTTCTTTTTACACAAATTGACAAAATGCAAAATTTTTTTCATTACATTTAATACAGTTTATGCATTTGATTAAATTTATTTCAAAATTTCTTATACGTTTCGTTTCTACCTCCGTTATCTATCATTGGTAAAGTGATAATGGTCTTAATAGGGGTGGAATTTTGTTAGACGTCCGAAGAGGAGAGGGGGGTTGACTTGGACACACTGGGACAAGCGGAGAAGGGAGAGTAAAAATTTCAAGAAAAACGTGCCCTCTGGGTTAGAATTAATATTAAAGGTCTACCGTATTTCTGTATATAATATGTAAAACAATGTATCTGGTTTGAAGTATTTTTATTTACTCCAAATGATTTCATACGTTTTAATTGAAACTTTTGTATGTAATTTTCCTTTTAGCTCTTGTGAAAAGTCGTTTCTTTTTCATGTGTAAAGATAAATTCCCTTTCTTCAGGCGTCTACTTCAACGTAGGGTGGCGGATAGAATTAGAAACATTAATGTTACTAAATTTTGGTGGTTATTGGTCGACTCGGTGGGGAGATAAAGGATTGTCGTGTGTCATATATCGAATAGGGTCCGAATTAATAACGATTTTACAGGACTTTTTTATAAAACCCATTTTTATTCTCAAAATTACGATTTTTGCCATTTCATAATGATTAAAAATGTAAAATTTTTTTCTTAAAATGAAATACCGTACCAGATAGACCCACATTTTAAACTTCGAATGATTGAATAATGTTTTTAAGACCTTGCAAAGAGTCTGATCTCGGTCTACACCAGACTCGAATGCGCCAATTACGTGTTCCGTCCAAACCGTGCTAATGTGGCCAACGACAGATTGGTCCTAATGTCCGAAAATTTAAATATACTCGAGCGAAAAGAACCAGAAAACGAGCCGAAGAAAGATAAATTATAATAATGTGTACCCAATCGAGAATACTACAACGTTCCACACGAGGAAGACACGCTGCCTCTAAATCAAGAGATCGAGGAATCACTGGATTTTTTTTAACTTCGATTTTCATCAAAACGTTTTCTCTCTTTGCTTTATAAAAATTCGCTTATTCACACAAACAGTATTATAAAAATCTTCGAGGAACACATTGCAACGTCCTTTGTCAGATCAAAATACAACAAATTTGCATAATTTAGAGCACGAATGACTTTCCTCCCTTTTGTATGAAGTGTCGTAAAATAACTTCATTACGGGAGAACGTAGACTTAACCTTATTAATTCAGTTTGTTCTTTATAAACGAAAACAATATTTCAAGTATAATAATATTTTTCTTAACAACTCGCCAATAATCACGAGGAAATCGACTCATTTGCATGTAAACCCAAACGTCTTCGACTTAAACGTCTGCANCGGGAGAACGTAGACTTAACCTTATTAATTCAGTTTGTTCTTTATAAACGAAAACAATATTTCAAGTATAATAATATTTTTCTTAACAACTCGCCAATAATCACGAGGAAATCGACTCATTTGCATGTAAACCCAAACGTCTTCGACTTAAACGTCTGCAAACCGGCAAATGTAGTGAGAAGGAATCAAATTTCCACTGTCTTCCTGTTTATTTCTTCAAAATTTACATTAGTGTAATTTAGTAGAAAGGAAAATGCCAAATATACAAGGCCAGGAAGTATTCAATTCAGACGAAGTGACTATATTCAACGACAATGGAGAATCGATGGTGGTGTCGCGAACCTCCTTGATAAAGAAGAGCGGATTACTAAAATATTCCGTAGCGGTGTGTTCGAACGAAAGAAAGTTCATTGTGAAGTTACCTGTGACACTGAAAATGCTACAACAATTTGCCAGGTTTGTACAAATGTATTCCGCGAAAGTTACAGTAGACCCCCTATAACACTGTTGATTATTCCGTTTCATATGAATTCCATGTTGTACGAGTCACTTAGATTTTACAAATACGTGTGCCGGGATGTGAACGCCTCACCTATTTGTAAAATCTAAGTGACTCGTACAACACGGAATTATCTACAGTGTTATAGGGGGTGTCTACTGTATTTATTTTCGGGAAGCCATTACATGTTCTGTCGTTTGTTTCAGCTTTTTGGAAAAGAAAGTCGTTAAGTTTACTTCTGCGGATAACGGATTCGAAATGTACTTATTCGCCAAACGTTACTTTATTAGCAGACTAGAAGAAATGTGCCTGAATTATTTTAAAGGGTCGATTTCTACCGGAAACGTCTGTCGTATTCACGATTTAGCCTGCGGGCGAGACGAAAAACAATTGCAATACGAATGTTACCCTCAATTTAGTTTCTCCGATAAAAATATATTCCGTACAGACGATTTCAAATCGTGCCAAGACAATACTATTTACAAGTTACTGACCTGCCCCATTTACTCCGAATTAAAGGAAT